TGTGTGTGTGTGTGTGTGTGTGTGTGTGTATGCACACATGCATGCACATGTGAGTGTAACTATGTCCAGAAAGGGTAGGAGTGAGTGATGAGGGAGCATCTCTTTTCTCACCGGAAGTGAGAAAACTGCAGAATCTTTCTACCGATGGAATTTACCAGCATTTCTCACACCCAAGGACCTTGGCCTTCACATGCCATACCTATCCAGGCCTCCACCACATCAGCCTTCCAGTTGAACTGCTGAAAGTCATAATCATCTTCCAATTGCAACTTCCAAACAGCCATCGCCTTAGCCAGAGAAGGGATCTTTTCGGTCAGAGACTGAATCTTGGTGGCTACCTTCTCCGTGTGCTGACTTTTCTCCTGAGACACCAAGATGGAGAAGAGAAGGAACAGATACACATTGGCGGATGTCCATGGCTAGAAGTTGAATTCTTTAGTATGATAAAAAGGTGGCATCTCTCTCATTACAAATACGTAACTATTCTCCTCTGGGTCGACTGCAGTTATCGTATTAATTGTATTTTTCATCCGTGCTGGGATGGTTACTTCCACTCTAGCATTAAGGAGATCTTCTTGTGTGGGGCCACATGAGTGTGACTTTCTTAGCTGGAGTCCCCTCTGTTTAAGGATCTTTGTATAGTACTTAGATCAGTGAGAGTTTATAAAAACAAGCATTTGTACCAAAGAATGATTCTCAAATTACAAAGGGGTTTCACTGTGGTCCTCTTTGCTAAAGGCGCACAAAGAACTTCTTTATGTTTTTACAATACTCTATAACCAAAGCATGCGATAAGATGTTTATAAATGTCTTACAGTGAGTAAGAGGGTCAACAGGGGATTTAAGGAAATCTGAGAGATATGCCTGTAAGAACTAGAAACAAGAATTTCCAAAAAACAGCGACTGAAGAGATAATTATGTGCTCAGAACAAAAATAAGATAGCTAGGAAGAGATTATTAAAATTCAATGTATGGGGGCACCTGGGTGGCTCAGTCGGTTGGGCGTCCGACTTCGGCTCAGGTCATGATCTCACCGTTTGGGAGTCTGAGCCCCACGTCAGGCTCTGTGCTGACAGCTTGGAGCCTGGAGCCTGCTCTGGGTTCTGTGTCTCCCTCTCTCTCTGCCCCTCCCCCACTTGTGCTCTGTCTCTCTCTATCAAAAATAAATAAACGTAAAAATATTAAAAACATAAAATAAAATAAAATTCAGCGTATGGTTTTAGCACAGCTCGTGATTCTGTATTTGGACCAATCCCTTTTGGAAAATGATCTTGGCCTGGAATCCCTGAAGTATTCACCTTATTTAAAATATCTTCTCCTTGAGCACACACATCTTGCACTCGGGTCTCATGGACAGCAAAGTCATTTTCCAATGCTTCGTGCTTCTTTAGCAAGCTCTGTGGAAATGAGTCCGTGAGAATCGACACATCCAAGCCTGGACAATCTAACCCACCCATATTCTGACTCCCGATGATGCAACTCACAGGAACGATTTGGCTACGCTAGGGGGGCGTCCACTTTTTCCTGCACAGTGCCACTAAATGCCTCCCCTAAAGCTCTCCACTTGCCAAAAAGGGCAATCCTACCAGAAAAGAAAGAAGTAAAAGAATACAGTGACACTGTTTCTAACTTACTAGGGTGAACGTAAGCTTTTCTGGACTTTGGAATGAGAGTGTTGGTCAAGGGAATACACACGGATTCCTCCATTTTGAAATGTACATAATTCCATGAAATGCTGTATCTCACAGAAAAAGAATAAGTATCATCCTATATTAAGAGTGGGCATAAAGGCAGGTAAAGAAGGCGCTGAGCTGTTTTGAATCTCAGTCTCGAACTTCTCTGGGTCTAACTGCTGCTGGTAGGATGGGGAAAGGAGTGTGGACAAAGCCCAGAAGCAGTGAGTCTCCTCCTTCTTTGTATTCTCCCGAGTGTTTTCCAGACAAGGCAGCCCTGCCCACCACCACCCTCCATCCACGAGGGCCTGGGCTGACTCGGCTGCCTCCTCCTGGTCCTGTCCCCAAAGCACCCTGCCCACTTCTCCTTCTATACCACACACTAGCCTGGGCCACAGGAAGAAATGGATTTTGTGTGACTAACACGCTTTTTAACTGCCACATTTTGCAAACAAAAGAATTTCAGGATACAAGGTGTTCTTAGGCATGGTTATTTCTTTAAATACAAGATGCACTACATGATATTGGATGACTATATATTTCATCTTTATGCAGAAACTGTACATGGAGATTGGATACTGATCCACAATATAAGATAGACTGATTTAGCCGTGTTTTACGTACACACAATATATGAAATAAAGTCTCTTTAACCCCATCTCCTTCTGTTTCCAATCTCTTTTCTGTGCTTCCCCTTGGACACTCTGGACAGCTCGGGTGCCTCACATCTAATTCATGCTTCTTTAAATAAAGTCTAGGTGTCCCCTCCTTCAAATTTATTCCTAAGTCCTAAGTAGCCTCCTCAATGTTGTGTTAAAAGTTGATAAGGCCAAAGCTTAAAACTTCACTTTAAATATATCTTTTATGGTTCTTGTAGTTGTAAGAAGTTGATCAGAAATATCTTCTCTTCTCCTCACATGTTAAACAAAGAGAGAATATGAGATTGGGGTCAGGAAATCTAAATCCAACGACAGGTAGGCAACTCTCTTTTCTTATATTTGCCAATCTATACGGGTCCAAGAACCCCCAAACTCAGAGGACCAATTGTTTTCTTGATACAAGATGACACAGAATGGCTAGGTGGATAGGTATCTTAAGGTAATGGTGAAGATTATTAGCAATAAATCCTCATAAAGATCTATTCCTGGAATTTGTATGTTACTGCAAAGACTTTTCATTAAAACGAGTCTTTGAATGTGATGGTCTAAGTGTACCTATCGAAAGATCAAGATTGGCTGAATGGCTTTAAAAATGTGACCCAGCTATATGTGGTCTACAAAAGCCGCACTTCAAATAGAACAGCATGAGTGGGCGTGAAAGTGACAGGCTGGCCGGGAGGGACACCTGCAGAACAAAGAGCCACTGGACAGTCACAGGCACAAAGATGAACCGCACCCGATGCCTCATCTCAGACGACAGTGAACTCAAAACAGCTAATGGACCTAAAATGAACACGTAAATCTCTAAAGTTCTAGAAAAAGACATAGCGGCTTTTCATGATCTTGGGCGAGGCCAAAAGTTTGCATTTTTGACACAGAAGCACAGAAGGTCAACAGTTAAAGGAAACAAACATTACGCTGAAGAAAATAAGGCAGCAAATAAGCACACAAAAAATTAGCCATTAGGGAAATGAATATTGAAACCACAAGGAGATACACCACACTCCTATCAGATTGTGTAAAATTAAAAAAATGGTGACAGTACCAACTCTTGGCAAGAATGTGCTAGAAGGCGCCATCACTCACGTGCTGCCAGCGAGTGGGTAAGACGGTACGGCCGCTCTGGAAACAGTTGAACACTTTTATATTTTTATGCATACATACTTTTTTTTACAGAACCAAATATGCAGTGATCCTACAGCAATTGGATTCCTGGACATTTATGCCCAAGGAAGGAAGACTCACGTTTACATGGAAGCCCCTGCATGGATATCAATAGCAGCTTTACTCATAACAGCTCCAAAGTGGAAATGACCCAGACACCCTTCAACAGGTGACATCCACACCATGACATACCACCCGGCAATAGCACTGAATGAACTGTTGTCACACACAGCCTGAGCGAGTCACCAGGGAACAACGCTGTGCGAGAGGCCAACTGCCCAAAGTTACGGACTGTATGAGTTCATCTATACAACATTCTTCATACGTCCAAAATTACAGAGGTGTAGAGTAGATTAGGGGTTGCCTGGGGTTAAGGGGGGGCAGAGGGAGGAGGGTGTTCTGCAAGATGGTGATGGTGACTGCTGCCTCTTGACTCTGTCAGTGTCGAAGTGCTGGCAGGTGTTACCACGGGAGGAAACTGAGTAAAGTGCACATAGGACCTCTCTGTATTACTTCTTACAACTGCATGGGTACCTACAGTTCTCAAAACGTAAGGTTTGATTTTGAAAAGCAAAGCCTTGGGAATGTTTGATACGAAAGCTTAAACCACTCATACATGTGCAGTGTGTGCACATGTCCCAGAAGACGTTTCAAATGAGAGGAGTTAGTGGTGGGGATTTCATGCCACGTGCAGGTTTTAAGTTTTCCATCGCCAGTGTGAGCCTTCCCTTATGTCATCACATAAGAGTGAATGAATCTCCACAGAGACTTCTTGGTAAATCCCTAAGTTTTAAGGCTACTAGGCGGAGACCTCAAGGTCCCAAGAATATCATTATCTTATGATCACCTTCTCAAAAGCTCTAAAACTCCACCTTAACTCAAGATCACATGGACCACTTGGTCATTTCTTTATTGGAAAACTCAATACTGTATTCACAAGGGTGTCTCTAAGTTGTAGAACTAGTCTACCTGCCAGGTCGCCCTTCTAAAATTTGATTTTCTGGAAAATGCAACCAGTGGCCAGGCATGAGAATGTTTCCAATTAAGCGTAACATTAGTATTTGGGAGAATCTTTAGGAAACCTACCTCTGTGAGGGAAGGCCTGTAAGCATGAAGGACTGAACTCATGAATCATGGGATTGAGACTTGAGTCCTGTCTTCACACCCGATTGATTCTGTGATCTTGGGCAAGTTGCTTGCATCCTCAGACCTTGATTTTTCATATTTAAAATTGGCAGGAGTACCCATATTTCCGTCATCGTTTCCTCCCACCAGGAGAACGATTCTTTTCATGGATGAAAATGTTGACTACTTAAGAAAAGATTTAAATCAGGGGCATCTGGGTGGCTCAGTCGGTTGAGCGTCCGACTGGATTTTCTGCTCGGCTCATGATCTCACAGTTCATGAGATTGAGCCCTGCGTTGGGCTTTGTGCTGACAGCATAGAGCCTGCTTGGGACTCTGTCTCTGTCTCTCTCAAAATAAATAAATATGCTTTCTAAAAAAGAAAGAAAATATTCAAATCCAAGGGAAGAAAATCGATCGTTCAGCCTGTTACTCACCTGAGTAGCGGCCAGTGTGTCCCCAGAACCCCCTCGGGCAACCATAGCTTCCTTTTCACTGATCCAAGCTTCTTCCTCCTCAGCATTCTCCATGAACTTCAGGTATTCTAGGGATTCTTCCAGTCGGAGCCCTCTGCAACAGGGCAGTGAACCCCAGTGAGGATGGGGAGAAGCCAGCACGCGGGGGACTATACTGAGCAGCACAGCCGCACGAGGCAGACGCACAGGACAATCTGATCTGAGCTCCTGTGAACAGGGGGAGGCCCTGACCCCAGAAGTCCTGTTCTGTGGCATCTCCTGCTCCCTGGGAGTCTTTGCTGCTGGCAGAGAGCCTCGTCCACACATGAGTGCCCAGCTGGAGAACAGCGTCAGTGAGCTAAGGTCTCTTTCTATTCTGTGTGCTGCCTCTTATATAGTGAAGGCACCACAAAAAGCTAGATGTTTCCTTCTACTCCCCAGCAAGACACATCTTCCTACCGCCAACAGGTATGGAATTATAGGCAGAAATTATTTGCTTTGGCCATCTGGCTACAAGGGAGGAAATCTACCCCTCGTTCTTTGCTTCCTAGGGGCTGCACATAGGGCCAAGCCTGGGAGCGGGGTGGGTCATACAAAGTAAAACAGACCCGGGGGCCACGGCCCGGTGAGAAGGATGGCTGGCATGCGGGGACAACCACGATAGCCGTGAGCGCAGGAGCCGGCGGGTGGCGAGGCCGTGGCGGTGGCAGCCGCCTGGCCTCTTCCCCGGGGCAAAAGGGGGCAAGCTGAGTGGAACACTGACATCTGGACAGGGACTTTGAAGATCAACAGAGACGGGGAGCTGGGGAGAGCAGCCAATGCTAAGCCCAATACCAACAATCCAGGAAGACAACGGCCTCCGTCCGATCCCCAACTCACCGAGTGCTGGCCAACTCTTTGAGCTTCTCCCATTGTTGAAAAAGATGAGTCAGGCGCTCCTGGATCTCCTCTCGCCCCACAGCAGCCTTGTCTCCCAGCCTCTCTGCCGCATCCAGAATGTTCTGAAGGACACACCCCCATGTCACACTCCTCCACGGTCTCTCTCTCCCTCTGTCTCCATTTAGTCATCGTTCCCCCCAACGAGGTACCCAGCCCTTCCGACCCTCCACATCATTTACAATCTCCAGTGCTCGCACCAGGCTACACTCCATGACCCGCTTTCTGGATTATTCACGGTCGCAGGGTGACCCTGCTGCCGAGCCGGACCCAGACTTGTCTCCTTCCCTTATGGCTCGGCTCAAGTACAGTTTTCCCAGAGGTCCCAGCCTGCATCCTAACACCAGCAACAGTGCGTGGGGTGTTGAAAGTGCCCCTTCCAGGGGAAAACATGGGTCTCCGCACAGACCCCTTCTGTCCCCAGGGGGCAACAGGCAGAGGAGGGAAGAACACGTGTGAACTCCATGCCCAGCTCTCCGTGCGCCCGCAGGCCACCTCCGCGTGAGGCAGCCTCACCCCGCTTGTCTGCGGCACGAGGGAGGGCTTGAGATCGCCTCCACTCTTCCTACCTGGACGGTGGGTTCGTGTGCCTGCAGCTCCCCTGCCAGGCGCTTGTGCTTCCTCAGCAGGTTCTGAACGCCCTGCAGGTCCCTGCCGTAGTCCTGGGAGCTCACTCGTAACAGCTTCTCCCTGGGACCAAGGAAGGAAACCCCAAATGCAGTTTGGACGTGTGAGGCCATCCGAGAGCGAGGGTTTTCTACAAGTGGGCGTGTGGCTGGGGGGTGAGGAGGCAGTAAATTCCAGTAACCAAAAGGTATTTGGTGCCAGAGACTTTCTGCCAAGCTCCTGGCTTAATCCAAACACCAAGGAAAGTAACATACTGGGGGCGCCTGGGGGGCTCGGTTGGTTAAGTGTCCGACTCTCTTGATTTCGGCTCAGGTCATGATCTCATGGTTCGTGAGATCAAGCATCTGACTCTGTGCTGACAGGGCAGAGTCTGCTTGGGATCCTCTCTCTCTCTCTCTCTCTCTCTCTCCCCTCTCCCCGCTTGTGTGCTGTCTCTCAAAAGAAGTAAATAAACATTAAAAAAATAACGTACTGATCCCCACCGTACCCACAGCTGTAAGAGCCTTCCCTTTCATTCCCTTGCCTGCCTACTGGCACACCTTTTCTTCTTTGCTCAAGAACATACACTAATGATTGGTTTTCAAAAACATTAATACACACATATCAATGAAGCCATGCACATACCTGACTTTCATGGCTTTATTATTTTTGTCTACTAATATCAATAGTGACTTAGGTAGAATGGGTGCAAAAAGTTGATACTACAGGAGTCATGGCAGTTGGATTGCTTCCAAGTGAACAATGTTTGAACATCGCCGCAAAGCACAAGACAGGGCTACGTAGACAAGATCATATTATCTCATTGCTTCTAAAGTTTTCTAAGATGTCCTCCATGCTGCCCTATATACAACACTTCCCTCTAAGTCATTGATTACCAGCGAGAATCAGCAGGTTTATACGAGAGGAGCACAAGGAGGCAGGTTAAATGGGAAGTCGGGAAAATAATTTGATTTACTAAGATTTCCCCAAGTGTACTTTTTACAATGAAAGCAGAGTTAGTAACGAACCCATGGCAGGTCCTGTGTCCAGTTCAGTGGCACCTTCGAGTCACAGGATAAATGGGGAATAAGGACAAGGATGTCGCCAGCTGAGTAAGCTGTAAAGGCCCAGCTGTCTCATTCTGACATCGCACACACTGTGAACCCTCTAGAACAAACACACAAGGTTTCTTAATTTTGTTCCCAGAGTGTACGTGAATTGCTCCCTACTTCTCCAAGCCTGTCTCCTTCAGCCTGCATCCAGTGAGGGAATTTGAGAAAAAGAAAACCAGTGTTAAATTTAGGCTAAGGCAGACATGATTAAGAAGTACTATCAACTTTGAGAAACAATGACGCGTTTCGTTTCAGCAGCAAATAGGAACCTGTTTAACAGATCATCTATTCTCCTGGATCATTCACACAGTGTGAGTTGGTAGTACATACTCTATCCACGATTCCTCATCGTCTAGATCCTGGAAGAACTGGAACAAGGCATAGGCCTCTTTCAGCGTCTCGTGGTGTGCAGCCGCTAAGTTCCGGACATTCAGGAAGCGTTCGTTGACATTATCCCTTTGCTCCACAATCTGGTCAACGTTGAAAGTCCCACTGGAGAGCAGATGCGTTGCTGATTCATTCAGGTCCTTGAGAGCATCCTAGAAAGTGCAGGGGTGCTCAGTGAACGGAACCCCACAGGCTTTGAGTACATTCTGGATTTCAACTACCACTAGTTCGTGTTCGAGGACTGGGTGGAACAGATTGCTTTTGAAGATAATTTGATGATACGCCCTTTTAACTCGGATGGGATAAGGGTAAAGACAGTAACAAGACTATATTCCTTAAACCGCACATTTTGCCTGGTGGTGTTCTGCCTTGCATTTTCCTCCTCTCCCCAACTGGAAAATGAGTGTGAGTGAGTGTGTCTCCAAAGAGGACTGTCCTCTTCACGGTAGTCCTGGATTTGGCAGATGTATCCATAGGAGTATTCAAGAACAGCTACGCGACCATAACGTTCCTAGGCTGGCCACATCAGGAATACACCCAGCCTGTTCTGCCTGTTTTTCTGCCCTTCTAGCGATGTCGATGTCGTGGGGGAATATCATCGGGTCCTAAAGATCTGGACTTAGAAAGCATTTGACTTCTTGCCCTTCCTGTGCATATCTCTGCCACGAAATAAAATCGATAATATAAAATTCTTCAGTATGAGCAGTGTCCTGGTGGCTCAGTTGGCCAAGCTTCCGACATCGGCTCAGGTCCTGATCTCACAGTCCGTGGGTTTGAGCCCCACGTTGGGCTCTGTGCTGACAACTCAGAGCCTGAAGCCCCTTTCGGATTCAATCTCTCTCTCTCTCTCTCTCTCTCTCTCTCTGCCCCTCCCCCTCCACGCCCTGTCTCTCTCTCCTTCAAAAATAAACATTAAAATTTTTTAAATTCTTCAGTATGAAATTAATACCTGCCAACCTGTTTATCATTGCTCCCAAGACATGTATCTGCTTGATACTGGAATGCACTGGAATTCTCCATGGAAATTCCAGAGCGCATATTTAATTCAACTTCATTGCACCTGATGTCTCCTTCTCATCTTTTTGCCCTCCATAATTATGTAAAATAAACTTGCAGTTTCTTTCCAAGACAGATCGGATATGAGCTTTGGAAGATAGTGAATTTATATGCGTGCATCGTTCAAAGGTAGACACGATAACTTTAGGCCCCTCTTTCTGGAGCCTTAGAGTCTACAGTTGCATGATCATTGGTTAGCAGTGATCATTGCCACAGCTCTGCAGCTCATGAATTTGACCTGACGGTAACGACTGCTGGCTGAGGACACCAGTCAGTTTTGGTCAGGTTTGCCAAGAAAGCGTTCCCCAACGGCCTCCTGAGATGAGGGAAGAAAGCCAGAAGCATTTGCATTCAGCCAACAGGACTGAGATTCCAACACCACCTACCTCTCGGGCCGACATCTCCGTTTCCAACAGCTGATGTTTCTTGAGCAAGTTTCCGGCCGAAGCCAAATCCCTGGCCTGATCTTTCATGGCCAGCAGTGTCTCTGCCTGGAAATAAAGGGATATGCAGCGAAGCTTCCAGATGAAGCCTGTCCTTAGGGAGAACAACATTAGCAACCATGTCCCCCAACTTTCCCCAAGAGAGTCAAGTTAAATCCATTTAACTGGCAACATTTACTAAGCTCCCGTGTCCCCGCCCTTCCAGGTGCAATTACCTCTGAGAGCCAGAACTTAAAGTCCTGGATGCTTGTGTTGAACCTCTGTTGGCGACTCGCCTCATCGAGCTTTTCTCCTTTGTCAGCTGTTTTCTCAAGCAGGTAGTCCCACTGTCTCTGCAGTTCCTGCAGTTGTTTCTGACCCAAAGAAACCTGGGGGTTACTATGGTCTTTAGGATCCCGAGTCCTGTGACAACATGAAAGTCTTCAGTAGGGGGCCAGGAGTTAGGGCTTAGCCAAAGTCGGCCAGCACTTGAGGGCCATTTTAAGCCAGTCGTGCTCAATCTGGGTAAAGAACAGCAGGTGCTGGGAGGAAGTCTGAAGAAAGGGCCCTGGGTTGCTTCTACAGACTGATGCCTAAGTGGCAAAACCCTCGGCAGGAAGGATAGAAGACGCCAAGCCAGCACGATATCCCTTGGGCATTAAGTCTGAGGCTTTCTCGGAGCCCTAGGTCCTGGGTTTGACGAAAGTGGTAAGGTCTGAGCCTCACGGTTTTCTCACTTCTTTTGTGTGGCAGCAGAGGGGAGACCGGTAACCACAGAACACGCTCCACATCCCTACCCACAGAAACTCTGAAGCGGGAAGAGCCTTCTCCTCATGTGCCTTTTAGCCCAAACCATCCTGAGCAGAACCCTTACCCTCACGGTTTCTTCATTGCCATCACATGCCTGCCGCTCAATCAAAGAGTTCCCCAAGGTGAGGACTCCCTTCACCTGCTCAGTTCGGCCGTTGACCTCATTTTCAAAGGCCTTGTGCTTCAGGTATTTCCTCTGAAAGGAAATCAGAAACTAAATCACCCTGGAATCTAGGGAAGTGAGATAGATACATTCTGGGTAAAAGAAAAGACTGAATGCGCCGTCATAACTAAGGTGGTGACTTCTGAAGGACTCACCCCTTCACGTTAGACTCAGAAGCCCCTGAGGGCAGGGCAGGGATGTCAACCATTAAGAAGAGTTGAGTGTTAGGGAGATACCCTGCATCCAGAAATCTGGGGATGCCAGAGTTTTCCAAGATTCCCATTTCGAACTTGCCTGAATGTTGGTGGGATCTTTGTAGGATTCATCACAGGCCGTGGGCAGCATCTCACCGATCCATTCCTCCAGATCCTCGAGGTCACGGTAGAATTGTTTGAGGTCAGCATAGTCACCAAGTTTTGTCTGCTCAGCAACCAGTAATTCTTTGAGAGCCTTCCATCTGGAGGAGGAGGCTAGGTCGCTCTCTGCCCTCGACCCTCGAGGGCAAATGCCCAAGTGATATCAAGCTTTGATTCCATAGCCACTAATCTTGCCATTTGCCAAACTGTGCCTTCTCCTTTCATTATTTATAGACTGAAGGAGGAAGAGACTTCTCCTCAGGTGCCTTTCGGCCCCCACCATCGTGAGCAGAACCCTTACCTTCATGGTTTCTTCACTGCCATCACATGCCTGCCACTCCATCAGAAGAGTTCCCCAAGTTGAGGACTCCCTCCACCTGCTCAGCTCGGCCATTGACCTCATTTTCAAAGGTCATATATTATTATTATATATTACCCGTTTTATTATATTGATAGGCTTAGTCGTCACAGAATCTCATTATTTTCAAATATGAGATACAGTGGTTAAATCAGGTATTTTTTTTTTGTTTTAAGTTACCTTCCATGACTTTAATTCTGTGACTCTCGATCAGAAAGGCTTCCAAGTGTCAAGACAGTTTCAGGCATTTAGAAACGAGAAGGATTCAGAGCATGACCCCCATCCTCCATGCTAGCCAAGAGGTCCCTTCATTCCATTTTCCTTAGCTCACAAAACACTTGCTCAGGCCTGACCTGTCCAGCACCCGTTGTAACCGAGCAGCAATCTCCTCCTTGGCATAGTGGTCATCAGCAATGAGTCGCTCCGCAACATTACCTAGCTCCGTGATCTTCTTGTCCTGGACAGAGGAGAAGAAAAAAGCCCAGATGCCTAGAGATTAGACCTCCAGGGCAATCCCAGACTCCTTCCTAGAAAAGAACAGAGATACCCTCTGTGGCTTCACACGACAGGGGGGGGGGGGGG